AATATATACATGTATATGTGTGTATTTATATATACATAATAAATATACACAGTACACACTCATATATTATGTAAAAAAAAAATATATAGGCCTATATATATATATATTCTCAGTCAGTAGGTGGCAGTGTTGTAGTAGACAAACGTGTAGTCATAAGGAAGCCTGGCCCACATCTCCTCTGACCTACTTTGAGCCTTAAGTGCCAAAGCAATCCATATAATTGTGGCCCCCGGAAATTACATTGTTCAGAGAAAGGATTGTACATTTTAGCAAAGGATCTGGTTTGTTAAAGTGCTAACCAAATAAAAAGGGGGATTACGGTAGATGTGGGTACGGACATAGCATATTCATTATTTCCACCCTCTCTTTCTTTCCCTCTTTACTCACTGTGAGAAGTTTGGGCTAGTTGCCCTGTGATGCACTGGTCTGATTGGCCCTCTGACGTGTCTGTCATTGAGTCGATCCTGGGTTGATTCAGCACTGCTGGATGTTCCATTAGATCCCAGCTGTCCTATACTCTGATGCTGTTCCACATCTAGGGAAGAATGGAAAACATGGCTGTGCGTATTATAGGATAATGGATGAAACATCCTATGGAAATCGTTAAATATCATGATGAATCTTGATAAGGTGTAAACTGAATATGTTAATAATATAACATTATGTAGCTGAAAAGCAAGTGAGAAAATGCTTTTCCAAGTAACATCAAACAAGATGGAAAATTGTTGAAGGAGATGGAAAAAGACTGGGAGAGAGTAGCTGCTGAACGCACTAGTGACCGGGGCCCACTGTGGGATTACTCCGACAGGACAGTGTGGATCTGCTGATCTGGACAATCCCCAGTGGGACAGGAACGCAGTGAAGAGAAGCGCACATGTGCTCACCCAAAGGTGTCACCTTGCTGACTGAATCAGATGTCTACCTGGAAGTGCCGCTTGATTCTGGGAAAAGCTTTGATTCATTTTTAGATAAGATTACGTAAGCGTGCATTTGAAATCTAACCTTCACAGTGCTAAATATTAGCTTTATCCTTTGCAGTGTGCTCAAATATGTATTAAAAAATGTGAAAGTTCTATTAGGTAGGACACCTGTGAAACACAACAACAGCTAGTGCTAGTAGTGCTTTACAAATTGCAGACTTTATGCCATTGTTTATTGCCCTAACAAACTCATTTTTAGCTAAGTGACCAAAGCTCAGTGCTAGTAACCAGAAGTTTGCTGGTTTGAGTCGTAGGGCGATCACCATTGTGCCCAATCTAGACACTTACCCAATGTTTCTTTAGGGGGATTGTCTCAGGGGGTGTCTAATTCTGCTCCTGCAGAGTTTAGCTTTAACCCCACTTAAACACACCTGAACCAGCTAATCAAGGTCTTGTAGGCTTGCTAGAAACTTCTAGGCAGGATGGTATGTTGGACTTAAAGGGATAGTTCACCCAAAAATTTAAATTCTGTCATTAATTATTCACCTTCATGTCTTTCCAAACCCGTAAGGCCTTTGTTTATCTTCAGAACACAAATTAAGATATTTTTGATGAAATCCGAGAGGTTTCTGACCCTGCATAGACTGCAGCGCAACTTCCACAGTCAAGGCCCAGAAAGGTAGTAAAAACACCGTTAAAGTAGTCCATGTGACATCAGTGGTTCAACCGTAATTTTATGAAGCTACGAGAATACTTTTAATGTGCAAAGAAAACAACAATATCGACTTTATTTACCGATTTCTTCTTTTCTTTGCGTCGTGGTACTTTTGTGAACGGTGGTGGACACTGACCGGAAGAGAAAAAAAAGTTGAATAAAGTTGTTATTTTTATTTTCTTTGCACACAAAAAGTAGTCCCGTACCTTCATATCATTACGGTTGAACCACTGATGTTACATGGACTATTTTAATGATGTTCTTGCTACCTTTCTGGGCCTTGAACGTGGAAGTTGCGTTGCTTTCTATGGAGGGTCCGAAAGCTCTCGGATTTCATCAAAAGTATCTTAATTTGTGTTCTGAAGATAAACAAAGGTCTTACGGGTTTGGAACGACATGAGGGTGAGTAATTAATGACAGAATTTTCATTTTTGGGTGAACTATCCTTTTGAAGGCAAGTTGGAGCTAAACTGTGCAGGAAGTTGGCCCTCCAGGAGCAGGTTTGGACATCCCTGATGTATTGTAAGTTGCTTTAGATAAACCTTCTGCTCAATTGACCTATCGTTAAGCCCCTCCCCTCAAACGCAGATGAGCCAATGGTAGTGGAGTATCAGTTGCATGGGGAACGGAACTCGGACATCTTTAGGTTTCAGCACCATAGAGAAACATTGGAAGATCCGAAGCTTGCATCGGTTTGATGGTGTTTATGCTACAAAAATGGGAAAACAATGTGCCTGGGGTACTTGTAACACTGATTCCAGTTATCCTGAGAGGATGGGCAATACAATTTATTTTATTCCATTTCTTGAACCCAAACAAAACAGAGCAAAATGTCCGTAAGTATTCAACCCTAATCCCAATGAAGACATCATGTACAGTGTAGGTCAAAAACACATAAACGGAGATCTACATTTCAGTGCCTCTCCATATTAAACTGGTTAAATGTAAATTAAATCGTACCCTGCAGTACATGAACAGTGTTGATCCTCCATGTTGTCATCTGCGATTGTGATGACCGTAACATGAGGCTTCTCCTGCTTGCATTGTGATCTGTAAACCCTCGCTGCCAAATGAATCGAGTTACCCACCACATTTATTTTAAAATCTTTTATATATCCCTCCATGGCATATTCAAATGTTCAAAAACATCTTGTGACAAGGTTTTCACACTGACAGCTGTCATTGTAAGACAGTGAGCAGCTCCATTTGTTTGTCAGAGGGAGTAACAGTAACTAAGGGGGGCGGGGCTTACCGATAGGTAAATTACTATTGCTATTAGCCTATGTAGTTAAACTAACCTGTTAGCCTTTCTTCCCCTTGTATGGGTGAGTTTCGAGCACACAGAACTGGGCTCGTCCTGAGTATGGGTACAGGGGTGACCACTGCAGATCTGTCCTCCCAATAACCCAGTCCAGAGGAAGCCTGTTCCTGAAGACAGCTCTCCACAGCGCCCCCTGCCTCTGTGGAGTCCAGGTGGTACTCGGGTGAAGAAATGAGTGTGACGGTCCGCTGACCATTAGAGCGGTTCTTTGAGCTGGATTTTAGGGCTGATTTTTTCGGTTGGAGAGGAGGAGGGGTTGGCTGAGGAAGGTGGGAGCTGGATGGTTCTCCATTGCGGGGCAATGGAGGTACTACAGGTCTCTTACTGGATGTGGGGCTGCATGCGGCTGGGATTCTCTGTCCAAGGGGATCCACGGCATAGGGGTTGAGTGGCAATGCTAGTCCATTCGAGATACACATTTGAGTTCCACTGTTGCAATCCGGAGGTGTTGGAGCCCTCAGGCCGTTGACATACAAGGGTTCCTGCTTGCTCTCTTGTTTCCGGACCTTCTTCTTTAGCTTCTGGAATGTTCCTCTACCGCTCACGTTATCCACAGGAATGCAGTGTGTTCCATCGCTGTGGACGATAGCGGGACTCGTCCCAATGTACGTCTCCTTAATCTGTTCGATCCGGACAAGCCGGTTGGGTAGGGTGGGAGCAACCCAACATGGTATCTTCTTCCCTTCGACTTCCCCATTAGGTAAAGACAGAGTATTTGAGTTCAAGCTAGGCCCGTGTGGTTCATTTAGAAAGGTCCCACAAGAGTTGCACTGCCTGTTTGCTGTTTCCGGACCTTTGCCATTCAACAAACTCTTCTTGGCTTTTGGCTTCCAGAATATTGAATCATTCGAGCCATGTCCTGTCTCTGCCTGTCCATTGATGTAAGACGACAAGGTGGGTTTGGACACCAGCAGCCCCTGCCCTCTTTCTCCAGCCCTGCGCCGCTGGCGTAGCCGCTCCAGGTAGCGCACCTCAGCGTCCTTCTCCGATTCGTCTTCGAAACGCACACGGGTTGGGGACTGTCCGTGTCTCCGGCAGGTTCCACCTGCCGAGTCGCCGCTGGAGGAGTCACTAAGGTTTCCGGAGACCACCACCACGCCCTCCTTCCCCGCAAGAGGAGCCTGGTGTAAGGGTACACCAACCCAGGACAACAGCTCCCTGTACACACATGCACATATATGAAATGAGTTGCATTCCTGAGCACTTAGATACGCGAAGAAACGGATGCATGCCAAAGCAGCCGGCAGACTATCTCTCAGCATGGAGACATGGGCAAAATTTCCTTCTTCTTTGGCTCCTCTGTGCACATTCCTGACATGCTTTTTTACTCCTTTAAGAAAGGTCGTCTTTAGCATGCCAAGCATTTCGATATCATAAGCTCATTGTTAAACATGAGAAAACCAAAACTAGTGCCTTTAAATATCCCCTGCTTGCTTAAAGTGCAGGAATAGTAATCTACAGGTGTATTATTGTGCACTAGGAGTTTTTATGCCCATTAAGCTTAGTGCACTGTTCTGAAACCTATGGGACTTTACAGCTGCGAGTTTGTCTTAAACATTCAATCTCAAGAGAGGCAGTTAAGTGTTAAGTTTAACCCGAGCAAGCTGACAGCAGTGTACTCAACATCACTGAGCTGTTTTCCCCATAAGGGAGAAGCAGGGAGGGAATTAGGGAGAAGGAAAGTAACAGCTGGCAGACATGACAGGTGTATCAGAGCAGGACGGCTCCCAGAAGCTCCCATTTAAATAAAAAGGGAGAATTTTAATCTGTCACTAATTCACTAATTATTCTTTTTTTTAAATCTAAGCCAGAACATTTAATTTAATTTAATTTTAAAGCTAAATACATCAAGTACACTAATTCATGAAAATTATTTTTTTATTGATAATACATTTTTTATTAACTATTTCTTTCATTAATTTCATTTTTAAATATTACTTTTAGTATTTACGTATATTTTTATATTTTTAAATATAAAAAAAAAATCTCTGTTCTCAGTGCGTGTCAGGTTTTGTTGTGACATTTAAAATTGCCCTAATCTGTTCCGGATGCTGCCATGCAATGCATGCCGCTTGTCTTCATACCAAACAAGGAGACAGGCGTTTGGGGCGGCTCGCCCATCTGTTTTTGTGTGAAAGTGCTGAGGTAGAGAACAGAGCGCTGGACGGGGAAGTGGGATTTAGAGCCACCAGCCGTTTGTACACGTTGTATAATTCAGGTAGTCTTATATAACAGAAGAGTTTGGAGGAGGACGCCAGTATACTTAGTTTAGAAGTTTAAATTCAGACTACCATTAGCTTCCTGCTGTTTCACAGCTAGCACTGAATGTGCATCTTTGTTTTCTTTGATACTAGAGTTATTCTATAATACTTGTATATCAGTTTCATACAAATACATAGAAGTTACAACCTTATTTAATGTCTTTATATAATATGCCAGACTGAAACAGAAGACAGCACCTGTTGCTTCTGAAAAGAGATTTGCCAAACACTTCCCCCCTTCCCTTTTATCATCTGCCCGTCTCCAAAAAGAGCAAAAGACTATTCAGTCCAGCACCAAATAATACAGTTTAAGATCTACATCCCCCACACAAATCCTCAAGAGTGAGCAGGCGAAGGCTTCCTTGTTTTGATATGAAGAGAGCCTTGTAGTCACCCTCCCTTCCCATGACGCCTAAGCCTCAAAACCCCAACCCCCCAGCCGAAACCCCAACAAGCCAAGGACTAGAGAGAACGAGACCGGGAAAACTCACGGGTTGTCCCTCTGGACGGGTAGGATGGTGTGGTCGGCTTTGAGAGGGTTGGACCGGGCCTTCATACGCGCTCTCTCCAGCAGTCGTTTGGCCTGCTCGTGGCGAGGGCTCAGCGGAAGGTCGTCGCCCAACACAAAGGCCCTGTGGGCCGGCCAGAGAGAGAGAGACAGAGAAAGAAACACGTCAGCTCCTGTGCGGAGTGGGGGGGGATTAAGTGGAGCAGGCCGTCATCACTAATTAGGCTGACGGATGCTGAGTGTGTGTGAGGTTTGTACCTGATTATGATGCACTAGATGGGCTTATGCATATGTTTACATGATCAAAGGCTTGAATATTACTCTAAAACAGGAATATGGTGATACCAAGACATAAAGTGCTTATGAAATCGTCATAAATCAGAATGCATGAGCCATTATCAGGAACCGCTATACCTCAGGACTTACTACTGATATTATTCAAAGAAACTTAGTTTTACTATGTAATAACTTTAACTCTGTTCAGTGTGTAATGTAAAATATTATTAATAATAATGAAAAAAATAATATTTGTTTTTCATGAAATTTTGCCAAGTTTGTTACGGTCACTAATTCACATATTTATTTTTTTAATCCAAGCAAAAACATGGATATACTGTTTAATGATTTGTTTGTTTACCTAATTAATTCATATTTAATTAAATTCAAAACTAATTTATGAAATTTATGAAAAATAAAACCATAAAAATACGTATGAAATCATCATAAATCAGAATGCATGAGTATGGAAATCACAGGCAACTAAACTTAGTGTCATTATTTCATAACTTTAACTATGTTTAGTGTGTACCGTAAAAAATAAATAAATGTAAAATAATACTAACATTAATATTAATATTTGTTGTTGTTTTTTTTTTTTTTAATTAGTAGCCAATTTTGTAGTCTGTCTGACACTAATTCACTAATTATTTTTTAAGTAAAAATATGGATATAATAGTTATTTATTTTTGTTCATATCTTTTTTCCTTTTTTTATGATTTTTATGATTTTTAAAACTACATACACCAAGTACACTAATTTATGAAAAAAATAAAACCATAAAAATGCTTATGAAATTATCATAAATCAGAATGCACGAGTATGGAAATCACAGGCAACTGAACTTAGTCACATTATTTCATAACGTTAACTATGTTTAGTGTGTACTGTAAAAGAAAAAAAAAGTAATTAAAAAAATTAAAATAAAAAATTAATATTAGTTTTTTCAAATTAGTAGCCAATTTTGTAGTCTGTCTGACACTAATTCACTAATTTATTAAGTAAAAATATGGATATACTAGTTATTTAATTTTGTTTATTTATTTATGTATTTATTTATTTAGGATTTTACGATTTTTAAAACTAAATACATCAAGTACACTAATTTATGATAAAAAATCATAAATGTAAAAAAAATACTAATAATGAACAAATTTATGTTTATTATCGAACATGTTTCCATGCCTCAATTCATCACTATTTTAATGGATTTTATACAGTTTTTATAGAACACATATTAAAAATAAATCTACATAAATATCATGATTATACTGGTAATGTATGGTTTTTCCTATAATGTTCCTAAAGTTCCTGACATTTTCCGACACATATTTCCTGACAATGACCCATGTGTTTTGTTTATTTTTAAGAATTTGTGGCATCTTTATTAGTTTGGAGAAAAAAGCTCAGCTATTTCCTTTGTTATTCAACTCTTAGGTGGAGTTTAAAGGAGCGGCAGGAAGAGCCGATGATATGATCTAGTTCCTCAGCTCATGAAAAGCATCAGCAGCTGTTTTCTCCTGAGCTCACATTCCACTTTTTTTGTATGTTCAACATTCAGACGTGCCGATGTTGTTTTTTTTAGGAGGAATTAAGGAGCACTACTTTTGAGAGTCTCAGGAAGCTGAAATAATAAATCTCTAATCAGCACTATGAGAAGCTAAATACACATGCTGTGTGTAAGAGAGTAACGTGAGAGCATCAATCTGTGCTGCTCACCTTTGGCTGTGTTCACTACCTTGGAGCGAAATCCCAGAATCCCAATCACTATCACTGAGGCCACAGATACCTGTGAAAACAGACACAGAGACATTCAGTGTGCAGATTACAGGGCTTATGATCTCCCTAATTAATACTGACTTGATATATATATATATTTATTTATTTCCCCTGCTTTCCATCACAACCAAAACTCTAGGTTATCCGCAGTTTCACTACTGCTTCATCTACTTCAGGTTGAGTGAACTGTGTTTGCCTGACAGCTAAAAGCCAGTTGTTTATCTCACTTGACAAGGTCGTCAAGTTTGTGTCCACATCTGGTGCTTCAAAAATGAGGAAAACAAGCGAACAAATGAAGCATCACACTGTTTTCCCATCTCCCAGCCTTTATCATTGTTACTCTGAGTTGTTTTTAATCAGTGTAATTCTCATTCTTATCCTTCTGTCCCCTCATATCTGGATTATCCAGCTCTCTCGTCTAATTCAAGAGAAGGATTACTTCTCTAATTACTTTAAACATGCCATGTGGTGTCACCATCTAGTAACATACACATCTTAATCATCATTTTTTTAATAAAATATATATCTTTTCAAGATAAAAGGTTATTTTGGTATTTATGTTTACATATGATTTTAGACCATTTTTAAGAGATGTTTAATTACTCTAAAACTGTCATGTGGTGTCAATATCCAATAACAATTAATAACTTACACATCTTAATCATGATTATTTGTTATACAAAATAAAAATAAATAATAATAAATGGAGCAATTCCAATAAGGTCCTCGCACCGCAGTGCTTGGGCCCTAATAAAATATTCATCACACTGTTTTCCCAGCTCCCAGCCTTTATCATTGTTACTCTGAGTTGTTTTTAATCAGTGTAATTCTCATTCTTATCCTTCTGTCCCCTCATATCTGGATTATCCAGCTCTCTCGTCTATATGACCCCTGCTTCATTAGGGAGGTCATGTGTGATCGTTGCGTGTAATCCATAAACGTGCTAAAGGAGACAATGTCATCTCATCAGACATGCGCTAATGGCATTTAACACCTGTCTGATAACCTCGGATTAGCGCTGCTATGCTTTATATCATACATTATGTTACATCGGATAAGGACAATTACATCTCAGCTTCCGGAAACAAGATGGGCGATTTCGAGCCGAGTTTGAAACGCATATGCCAGGTTCTTAAAAATTTGCTCTTTTTGTTTATGTTTTCATGATTATTTGTTATACAAAATAAAAATAAATAATAATAAATGGAGCAATTCCAATAAGGTCCTCGCACCGCAGTGCTTGGGCCCTAATAAAATATTAACAATAATAAAAATAAAATAATGAATTAATACAAATAATATAAAAATATTGTTAAATAATAAATTAAATTATATTTTTTTCAAGGTATTTTTTTTCATAAATATTGTTAATTATTAATTCATATATCTTTTTTTTTGGAGTCACGCCACATGACATTTTACAACCTGGACTAACTTTAAAAATAAAAAAGGTCAAACTTAATAGAGTTTACACAAAGTCATGAGGCTCTGTAGGGGTCCTCTGTGATGTCACTTCCTGTTTTATGCTTCGTTTTTTTTCTGCATGTTGGTTGGAGCTCATGACTTTTTTCATTTATTTTATAATTTTATAAATGAAAATTTCAAACATTTTTTCATTTATAATTTTTACGTAACGAGTCAATCAGTTTTGTAAAAATAAAAGAAAATTGTGATTAATAAATTATTTAGTGGAAAAAAAGTGTTCAAAAATACAAAAAATGAACAACTAATTTTTAAAAAATGTCATAGTTATTCATATTTTTATAGGCTTTTTCTTCATTGTTATATCAGAACAGTCATACCACCTTAGCATTTTTGATTTTATGCCCCCTCAAAAAATATCCATATGTATATATCCAGAGTAATGGATCTCCTTACCTCTACCACCAATGTGTGTCGGGTCCTCTATCCTTTGTCCTGGCACATGGTCTTTGTTCTGGGCTTTCTGCAGCATCTGTTTGAGAAGACCTCGGTTCATCTCGACCCTCTCAGCCAGGGACAGCGAGCTTCCACTGCTGCACATGCTCTCCAAGCTGTCGGCCCGCCAGAGTCCACACTGTCCCACCTCACCATGATTGTACCTGCTTAGGTGACTCTCCAGGCTGTCAGACCTATGCAGTTCCCTTGGAAACTTGTGGCCCATTTTGTGTCCCATGGTTCCTCCATTTGTTCCATCTTTCCCCACAGGAATGTTCCCATTTAGAACCTGCATCTCTGGTCTGATGGACCTCCAGAAACACTTTGGAGGCATCCATGGTTTATCAGATGTAGAAGCATCGTGTTGAGCCCTGCAAGCATCGTTCGAGAGGTTCTCCAGGCTTGCTCCTTCTCCAAGGCCACGTGGGATTGCCAGCAAAGTTTCGGAAGAAATGGGATCGTACTCGAGTTCTACCTGAGGCTTGTGATCTCCGGCAATGAAAATCAGAGGCTTGCGAGGTTCCCCGTCTTCATCGCTGCTGCTGGAGCCCCAAGCGTCCGTGAGGGCGTATCCCAGCATGAAGGTCCCGGGAACCACTCGTTTGTCCTGGTTCTTACTTCCAGGTTCTTTCCAGGCAACTCTGTGCTCGGAGAGAGCCTTGACCTTGGACTGCAGCGCCGATACAGCAGAGCCTTGAGTTTGCTGATTAGAAGGTGAAGACGGGGTGCTGGGCTCCGGGCTTGTGCTGGAAGGACACTCGTCCTCTGGCTCCCTGAGGTGGATGTCAATGTTTTGGGAGGTGGCAGGCAGGGGTTCAGCATCTTCAGAGGTCACTGCGTCCTCCATGATCGAATCAGAGTGTCAGTGGAGCATTATGGTGGCTAAAGGGGATGGAAAGAAACAAGTTGGGTCTCACTCACTAATAACTGTGTGGATACACACAAGAGAATTTGTTCTTAACTTCATTGTAATTTTAAAGGGGTCATATGACGTTGCTAAAAAAAACATTTGGTGTAACGTGGTTTTTACGTGGTTTAAGGTAAAAAAAAACATTATTTTCCACATATTGTACATTATTGTTTCTCCTCTATGCCCCGCCTTTCTGAAACGCGTCGATTTTTACAAAGCTCATCATTCTGAAAAGCAAGGTGTGCTCTGATTGGCCAGCTATCCAGTGTTTTGTGATTGGCCGAATACCTCAAGCGTGTGACGGAACTGTTACGCCCCTTATACCATATTTGGAAACAGGAGCGTCTCCATGAAATGACGGCGGTGGCAACAATACTACAGCGAGAATAAAAGTTACGCCTTCTTTCTTTGTGTAAACATTTGGGCGGCGTTATGCAAATCTTCCCACACAGTGACGTAGACATGTGGGGGCGTGTTTAAACGAGGCATTTTAGGAGGGGTGGACGAGTCTTAACTTTTATAAAGAATATCTCTTTGGGTTTGAGACTTTAATCTTTGCAACTTTACGGATCTTATATATGCACGAACAGCTTTTAACACTCCAAAGACAAAGGAAAACATGAAATCGTGTCATATGACCCCTTTAATGAATTTGGAATATTCTAAATGAGCAATTTGCATAAAACATACCCAAACCATCACCATATAAGGGATTTCCACACAACCTTTCCTTTAGCCAGCCTTTAAAAAGTTTTTGGTGAATCATAGTTTATTCATTAAAATACTTGTATGCAGATTTCATGCACAAATTTGTGCATACACGCAGTTATTAAATGAAAGCCAACATTTACGTGATTAAAGTGAATGTTTTGTTTATGAAATAAAAGTATTTTATATAAAAAAGCCCTACAGTTTTGTCTTTTCTTATAAACAAGATACATTTGATTGAGAAGTATCGCTACAACAAAATTAAATATTAAGACTTGTTTTCAGAGAAAGTACATTTAATAATTAAAGTTTATTTTTTCTTACTGCATATTTATTGGATAAATGACGAATTGCTGATCTGTTTCACACTTTTTAAAACTTTATAATTTTTTTATTTTAATCTGCACTGTTCTGACCGTGCAGATAAAAATAAAAATAAATTGCTTTCATAGATTGTTTTGAATATGAATGTATTTTGTCTCTTTGCCCTCGTTTTTAACATGTTTATGATTTAAATGTGAAAAAATCTGCCAGAGCAGTGAAACAAAATACACTCAAGATACATGATCTAAAAACAAGTCAGTGTCACTTCTCAAATAAATCTTTTCTCAAGGCTTTTTTTTACTTTTTATGATTTTTTTTACATATTTTTAACTTAAAGAAAATATTAAAAAGATTCATTAAAAATAACATAGTGCTGTCAAACGATTAATCGTGATTAATCGCATCCAAAATAAAAGTTTTCGTTTACATAATATATGTGTGTACTGTATATATTTATTATGTATATGTAAATACACACACATACAGTATATATTTAGAAAAAAAATTACCTGTATTTACATTTATATATTTATATTCATATAATTTATAATATATATAAATATATTTAATATATAAATATAACATATTTTTCTTCAATATATACATGCATGTGTGTGTATTTATATATACATAATAAATATACACAGCACATACACACATATATTATGTGAACAAAAACTTTTATTTTGGATGCGATTAATCACGATTAATTGTTTGACAGCACTAAAAATAAGACTTCTTCAGTGCAAAAATTTAGTGATAGATTTGGCATTTTTTAGTGACATTTAACATGAATTGAGGGAAATACTTGTGTGCAAACAAGCCTTCATTAGGCAGTATCACTTACTGCATGATATACTGTATTTGGCATTTTAAACTGTCTTTTTGAGGCCATTAGTAACCACAGAGGTTTTAACTGTCCTCAGACCAGTGGAAAGCACATTATTCACTTAACTGAATTTTTGATAAATCACTTTTTGTTGACAAGAAGACTTTTGCACCTTTCATTCTTTCCAAACAGCTTTGGCCATGCAAGACTTGACCACAGAATCTAAAAAATGTCTTTTAGTCACAAACAACTGCTAGTATGTCATTGTGGCATTGAAACGGGATTTTCCCAAGGCTGAGGGAAAGTAATAATGTATATTTTAGTGTAACACATACGTTTCATCTGCTCTACTAACTACTAACGCCAGATGTAGAACAAATAGTTTCGCAAGTAACCAATACAACACGCTAACCTGTTCTGAGAATAATGTAGGGCTTGGTGACACATTATTCCACTTTTAGCTTTCGGCTTAACAGCACTATCCTGCTTTTAAACCTCCAATCATCTTTTCACAAAGCACAATGTTATCAAACTAACATCTGAATGCTCTTAACTTTTAATTAATATACCACGGTGCAGTTAGGTCATGTTGTACACTTAGCATCTGACAGCCATTATTTAGGACAAGAATAGAAAAGTATGTTTTCTCTGAGGTAAGTTCACAAACGAGTGAGTTTTCTGGAAGATTAATTTGATTTAATTGGTCCTCTCTTAATTAGGACACCTTCCTGGTGCTCCAGGTACTTCATGCTTGAATAAACAGACATTATTCCATCTGAACACACACAATAACAGAGAAAATTCTCAACAATTTTAATCGCTTAAAAGATTTTTAAAACATTAACTTACCATTTACAACATTTTAAGAAGGCCATATACTTCATACATCAACAGCAACATATTAGGCTGACGACCTTGTAATTTTCAGGATGCAGGATGATTTTTTTTTTTTACAATTAGTTATTTATAATTAATATGCTCACAAAGAGCCAACTGAATATTCTAGTGTCAAGTATAGCAAGTAAATAGCAAATATTTACTTAATAATTTTCTATGATTTTCTTCCTTATTTTTTAAATAAATAAATAAAATAGTTATGCTCAAAACCAGCACTTTCTAGCCCACTTAAATAACGTATAGTCAAAAATCAAATAGCATACAGAAATATTCACTATAAAAGTTTTGTTACATGACTTTTTTCTACCCAAATAAATACCTTGCAGAGTCAAGCATAGTCATATAGAATATAGAAATATTAACTTTAGAAATGTTCATGTTTTCCTCAACTTTTTTTTAACAAATAAAATTATTCTGCTCACAAAGAACAAATTCTAGGCAATTTGTTGAAGCTGGAGTCAAGTGTAAAATAGAATGTAGAAATATTTGCTTTTTGTTCCATTACTTTTTAAATAATTGAACAAATAAATCAAATAAAGTGTACAAAATTGAATATAGCAATATTCACTTTAGGAATTTCAATTACATTTTAAAATGAATAAATTAACAATTCCTAGCCAATCAAATACCTTACAGTCGAGAAATAAATAGAATGTAGAAATATTCACTCTAGAAGTTTCCATGATTTTGTTCCATGACTTTTCAGAGTAAATAATGCTCACAAAGGGCACTTTCTAGCTAATTAGATAACATAGAGTCAAGCTTAAAAATAAATAGTATTTAGAAGTATTCACTATAGGGATTCCCATGATTTTTTGATCATTTCCGTGACTTTTCCAGGCCTATAAATCCTTATATTTCCAATTTTTCCATGGGCTGCTTTTTATTCCAGTGCAATCTGTTGGTGATGAGAAAACTACAGGAAATGAGACCATTTCAGAGGAATGAGTAAGTAAAAGTCATACATGAGCTTTCTTGATGTCTTACACTGAGCTCAGGTCGATTTCTACAGTTCTGCAGCCTAAAATCATTACTATCCCATCTGCTGCTGGTGTGACCCCTAAACACACGGGGGTCACCGTGTCGGACCAGGAACGAAAACACTCATCCCGCGGGGGGCCACTTCTCTCATCTGACATTTATTTAACACTGGAGCTAACAGAAGCATGGGTCAAGAAAACAAAATGCAATGACTCGCACACAGGTGGCCATGAAAGCTGGACAAACAACTTTAAAAGATCACGAAAGCAGTAAATCTTGACAGAAGAAAAGAAAAACTAGGCCTAATAAATATCTTCTTCAAACATCTTACCTCCTTCGCCCATCTGCTGTCTATCCTCCACAGCAGCCACATGCGCACTTATAAAGTCACTTCAAGATTTATAAAATCATATTTGAGTCAGCAAAAACACAAGCGGCCAGTTCAATCTCATCTTGCTCTAGTTTCTGCTTTGCTTTCAGTTTTGAGCGTCCCAAATCTTCTCTCTCTCTTCCTCCAGCTGTTTTGGCCAGCTCAAGTGTGCTTGGCACACTCCCACTTCAGATTTGGCCAACTAAACAGCTGCGTTTGAAAGCACTGGCTATCGTTCACTCGCGTTACACAAACTGAACTACTTTGAGGAACGATCGCTACGTTGCTATGGAGACAGACGTGACCACAGTTGAGAAAAACTGACCTGTGAGACGTTGCTATTGCTGGAGCGGCCCGTGTAGCTCCGCCCCTGAGTGGGAGGGGCGTAATTCTATACTAGAATTTGGGTGGAAAATTGATGGAAGAATTCTTAAATGCAGAGGAGAGGAAGTTCACATATTCCAGCTGCCGAGGAATTTCCTTTGTTAATTCGTGCGCGTCTTTGTGTTTATTAATCTATTTAACGCCACGTTGTGAGAGCTTTTGGCGTCTGGTTTGGTTTTTTTACTCAGAGAAGTCACTTAGATTTCATACGGGGTTATTTTTCTTGACTCCCTGATCTGAGGCCAGTTCTGAAGCAAAGCCAGCTGTAATAGAGAGCACTGGGCTGGGTCTTGAACTTCATGCACAGTTGGGTCCAAGGACGCATAAACTGCAGGACACAAAATGAATAGGCCGCCTTCTTTGTGCATTCTTCTGACACAGACACGGACACAGACCCAGCCCTGCCTGCAGCGAGGAGGAGGCCTGTAATATGAGCAGATACGCTCGCAATCGCTGCTGCTGCTCGAAGCAAAAGTCATTATGTGAGTTTTGAAACGTCCTGTCACAGTCACACTCTCCTTGTAAATACGCTACATTTAAATCAAACAGCTGCAGAGAGGCGGAGGGATGCTGAAGAGAGAGAGATCTATCTATCTATCAATCTATCTATCTATCTATCTATCTATCATCTATTTATTTAATTACATTTTGAAATTTAAATGTAAACAATTATTTTAAATGTAAAAAATATATAATGTAATATCGTGTATATAAAATAAATAATAAATAGTTTTATGTGCATGACTCACATTTAAATTGTTTAAAATGATTTAAAATAAATATTATATAATTATATATTATAAATATATTAAATATTACATGAATTTAAAATCATATATAATATATTATATAATATATTACCAAGTACTATATTATAAACAGTATTTTATATATATATATATATATATATGTGTGTGTGTGTGTGTGTATGTATGTGAGTGTGTGTATGTATATATATATATATATTAAATTATATTATTTTATACCATTTTAATCATAATATAATATAATATAATTTTTTAAATCTTTTTTATGTAGGTTTATATCCGATTAACAACTATTACAAACTCTACATTTTGCAGATCTACAGAATACTGTACAAACAAAAACTCACTTAACAGCACAAGCACTAATGTAAACTTCAATGACACTTACCTGTCAGTCACTGATGTCATATGCATAGCTGACCATCATAGTATCCAGAAAAAAAAACATTTTATTATACTTCCTCCAGAGCAATATATTCTCGTCTAGATGAAGTTTGCAGGGACTCTGTTTTGAGTTCACAAGTTCTCCCCACACATTAGTCCCGTGGAGGCACACAATTGGTTCGGTCGGTTAATCTGCCCAAAGATTAAGACAAAACAAAATCCGCAACAGCCAACCACTGGCGAGACATTGTTGCGTAAATCACTTCAATCTGGCCCCCACGAGCCTCCCCAGTATGAGTGAATGAGGCTCGGATGAGATTATTTCCACCAGCACTGGAACAAGCTCAGCTGTGCCAACCGACCTGCTCTGATCCCAGCTGTGGAAGTGGACACTGTCTACAGGTTACAGTACAGGATTACATCCGGCTATCTGTTCTCAGAGCAGTCCATTTAAAGAAGTGTCACTGTAGTTGCACCATATTACCCTAACCTTGAGCCTCTGAATGTTAAACTGGATCTCAAAGTGGTTTGTGATTCAGTTTGCTAGTGTGAAGGGATCTAATGCAATTCTGCTCCATAAGCTTCATAAATTAGGGGTTTATGGTTTGATAATCCAGTATGATTTGGTTTTGACCCTCATTCACTAAGCTGTCAGTGAGAAAGGTCACTGGGAAAACACTGAGCTGGATAAGGCTTAGGCAAATGCAGTGTGATGGAGGAACACGATGACTGCAGATGCAAACGCAGAACTTCATATGAAGGTTGCTGGTTACTTTTCATTGAAAAGGCAAACTATACATGGGTTTGTGCAAAAATTTTACAATAATGCACGTTTTCCTTTGCAGGAACTTTAAAGCAGCACTATGTAACTTTTTCTGTGTTCAAAATGTGCAAAATGTATATAATGAGCGAGTACATCATGAATTCATCTTCCAAACCGCGTTTTTGTCTTATTCTGAATCACTACGGTACACTTATAATAAGTACTTATATTTGGACTATTGTAGCCTGGTCGGGTCGTCGCCGCTGCGGAGTAACACATACCTGCGTGAATCGCCATAGACATAAACTTAGAGAAGTAGCTCCGGTTGGAATGTTCTTCCGCGGTATGTGTGCAGTTCTGTTTATTAACCGCTAGAGCGCCAAAAGTTACACAGTGCTGCTTTAAATGCACCCCATTCCCAGTGAAACTGCGCCATCTAGTGGTGAGAGCAATAAAATGTTGTAACTGTTTTCAGTGTTTACATGTATGAACATGACATTTTTATAAAGATCGCAAAGTACACAAAGAGTTTTCTTAATGACTTACATGTAAAATTCTATTTGATGCATACAGAAAAATAATGAATATTTTTAAAGGAAAATTATGAAATGTTATTATATATTATATAGTGGAAATATATATTATTTCCTTAATTAAAATGTAAATGCTAGTCATACGAATATAGTCAACAGTAAAGCAATACTTTTCTTAATAACTTCCATATAAAATTGTATTTGTCACTAAAATATATGTACAGAAAAAAAGTGTAATTTATGTGAAAGAAAAAAAACGTAATTGATTTATTAAGAAAAAAATATGAAATGTTATACAGTATTATAATTTAAGTATAATATAATATAATGTCATATAATTTAAATATAATATATGATAAAAATTTAATTTTATATATATATATATATAATTTTATTTTTATCATATATTATATTTAAATTATTTTATATTATACTTAAATTATAATATAACATTTCATAACATTTCACATTTTTATTAAATGTTTTCACATTTATATAATGTGTGTGTTGAGTGGTTGGGTGTAATAATTGTGATATTAAAGAAAAAGGTAAAGGAAAGAAATAAAAAAAATTAAAAGAACTTGATAAAAAAATATGAAAGAATATATTATAATATTTCATATAATGCACCATAAGATTTATAATATAAATGAATATACTGAAAAAGTTGTGAAATGTATTGAAAAAGAAAAATACATTTAAATTAATATGTTAAGAAAAATGTTACAAATATATTAAAAAGTAATAAAAAGAAAAAATATATTATTATGTATAAAACAAGGAGTTACAGTAATCCAGACACAACGTAATAAACGCATGAACAACAGTTTCAGCATCTTTGAAATCTAAAGATGTTTTTAAAAATTTAAAAATTGACATGTTGATATCACACAAGCAGTCTTTCAGAATGCTCTCAGATGCAAACTGTATGCATTAGTGAGTGTGGTGGTGCTTATGGGGTGTCGCTCTGGGACGGGTGAGTATGAGGCTGGGTGGAAAAAATCACAGTATACTCACTACAAAAAACTAGACAACACCACTGGGTGTAAGGTTCAGAAATTTATAAACGAAAATATTCAGTGTTTAAGACCTTTTTCACTCTTATGGGAAAATGTACTCTTTGGCTTTACTGACTATTCTGAGCAAGAGGAACACTACTTTTAATTGATTAATTTACTTTATTTCACATTCATAAGTGTACATTTACCAATAAGAAACCCAATTTGATGGTTTTGTTGACTGAAATATGTATATATATTGACAATATCAGAGACTCTTTGAATAAGAAAGCTGTAAAAACTTGTGAACTTTATAATATTTGTTTGATTTATATATATATATTTATTATATATATATATGTGTGTGTGTGTGTGTGTGTGTGTGAAATTATTTCATATTCTAAAATATTCTATTTTATGTAAACAATATATACATAGTTAAATATTATGCTATAGTTTATTGTTAGGCTATATAAAATCTCCGTCTCATTATATTAATATCATTATAACATCATCATATTATCTATAATATAACAATATTTTATAATATATTACACCTGTAACTTTTTAAAACCTTATTTAGTTTGTTAACACTCTGAAATCAGTAAAAAGCACCTACAAGAAGAATGAAGTTTCATTTCACTGGAATATTCTCGAATGTCTTTTCATTCCGCCTGCTTTGATCCCTACATGTTAAATATATTAATTATTTGTCCTAAAAACGCTCTGTACTATAGTATCTCATCAAAACAAACCGTGTAAAGTCTATAAGAGTCGTGTTGGTCATCTGATGCGGTGACAGAAGGCATCAGCTGAGAGGATGCTGCTCGTGCCGCTCTGCTAGCCGCACACGCTTCGAACGTCAACACAACAAAGAGGGTAGATTTACTCATTTAACCCATTGAATATTGCATAAATATGACAAGTATAGTGTTTCGACATGTTTTTAGTTGTTTTGGGATATCTCTGGATGTTTATTTCGTCGGTTTGTCGTCGTTTTTTGCACAACGGCGCCGTGAGCGCAAGCTAACTCTGAAACTGATAGGCGGAGAAGTTCAACAGCTAACGTTAAACTATATTTACTGTCTAAGATAAGCAATGTATGCATGTACATGGACTCAGCTTAATATTCTATACATTAAAAGGCTTTAAGTGAATTGTTTTTGTATGTTTAGGTAGTGAGTTTATTGGAGGATGGCGTTTGTGAAGAGCGGATGGCTGCACAGACAAAGTGAGTGTTTATTGCACCACATTTATGTCCTTAAAATCATTCGTTTTAGTTGTTTTGCTGTCTAATTTAGCATTTTAGCATGTTTTGTAATTCATATGAACCCCTTTCTGGGAACTCATGAAATATAAATAATTTAAGGTTATGCGAAATGTTTAGCCTTGAGGTTGAACTGAAAAGCTTTTCAGTTTTGCTTTTAGTTTTTGCTTTTAGTCCTGTCCTCTTCTTGATATCTTGGCACGAGTTTTTAGACGGAAGTTGAAAAACAGCTGAACTTTGTGTCTCAAAACCTAGTAAGCTGAATATCTAGGCTGTATCTTGTTTGTCTTGTAAGTCTAAGCTCTATTTAGATGATGAATTCATTATTTCTGTTTGCTTAAACTTGCTTGAACAATCGAGGTCAGATTACATTAACAAGTCCTTTTTTATTTAATATTTTAATTATTTTATACTACATTCATAATATGAAATATATATATGCAGATACAGTTTATAATTTAATTATTTTATAATGTAATTTTTATTTTTTTATTATAAAAAGGTAATTAAAACATGGCTGATATTAAAGTTATTTTGTCTAAATAAATTATAATTAAAATTATTATATATTTTGTAATTTTAATACATTTATAATACATTTATAACATGTAAATATAAATTTAATACAACTTGTTTAAAATGTAATTTAAATAATAATAATTTAATAACATTTTAGAATTGTAAAAAGTTATTAAAATGTATTTATAAAATCTATCAGGCACCATCTTGCGGCGCTGGAAGAGGAACTGGTTTGACCTCTGGTCAGATGGACGTCTGGTCTTCTACGATGACCAGCAGCGGCGGGACATGGAAGACGAGATCCACATGAAGGTGGACTGCATTAACATCCGCAATGCCAGCGCATGTAGAGGTGGGTGTGATCCGCACTTCAGTCTTCATCTGTCATCTTTCCTTCTGCTTTTGAACCGCGGAAGATGCGAAAACCTCAAAAGTGCCTTCTTATTAGGGCTGTCAAAAAAAAAATCGAATTTCAAATATTAGTGGAATAAAAAAAAAAAAATCCACATTCGAATGCAAAAACGTTGCATTCGAATTTTAGGTCTGCGTCAGCCGTCAGGCAGTGTGTCAGTGGCGCACGAAATGCGACGACGATGTAAGTGTCATTGCATTTGAATGCTTTTGTTAGCCTATCCAGTTGAACCCACTAGAAGCGGCGCTGCTACGTTGTTCATTCATATATTGCGGAAAACGAGAGCATCAGTGTGGAGAAGATGTTGTTTACGTCAAAACTGAAACCAAGTCGTTCACATAGAACGCATATTTATCATATTTTCTAGACGGACATCTATCAGTGTTGCACTCGCGTCTCGCAGAGAGCGGCATGTTTAGATCAAAGATAGTCGTGTTATTTTATTACGCTTTGAAGAAACGTGCATAATATTTTGCTCGATGCGCCCTCTTGTGGCCTCAGGAGAGAAGCCAAAAGCTTTTTTCCCCCTAACTGAAATTATGCCTTTTAAATTCGAATATAATTCGAATTTTGATCATATTTATGTAGAAAATTCGAATTTAGTTTTTCAGTCATTTTGACAGCCCTACTTCTTATGTAGTACTTGACAGGTTTTTGCAAGTTGTTAGACCAACAGAGGATGGAAAAAGTAAAGAACAAGTAACTTGAAGGTTGTTGTTGTTGTTGTTCTTCATCTTCCATTATTCATTTCCAGAGCTCACACCTCCTGAAGGCAAAAGCAAAGACTCCCTCCTGCAGATCGTCTGCCGGGACGGTCGGGTCATCAGCATCTGCGCAGACAGTGCAGACGATGCTTTGTGAGTCAAATTCTCTATTATT